GGGGGGGGGGGGGGCGACTAGGGGGCAGTAAATTTAATAATTTTTGAAGGGGCGTTCCCCCCCCCTGGCTCTCAGGCAAAGCCTGAGCCTCGGCCGAATGCAAATCATTAGCTCAAAATAGGAAATTCGTACATAACTCGCACAGGCTGTTGTTAGCACAAGTGAATCTTTTCTACGCTCGAACTAGCATCCGCTCGAACTAGCATTTCGCTTGAACTGGCATTCACTCGAATTGACTGGTTCCCCTGAAAAGGTAGACCTAGAAGTTTTTATTTATTTTTTATTTTTTGACTAAGGGAGGAGGATCAAGACCCCTGACACCCCAGATCCGCCAATGTGATTTGCGAGAAAATGTAACTCGGTTGGGGACTGGATAAACCCTCTCTCTCCGCTCGATCTCCTCCTTTTTTCCTCTTCCTTTACTTGCATTTCTTTCTGATCATACAAAAATCTCCATAGAAATTATATATTTTCTGCTAAAAAGTGGCGGTCCCCCGGTTGCGGCAGCCATGTCCTAGGTAAAAACGGCCATGGAGGTCTGAGATAATGGTTAACTGTAGTGGTGGACTATTTCAACCCCATAAAACAAAAAACAAAAATAAAGCAAGTCCATTAAATCTTCCAACTGATGATATAATTTTTTTGCTCCTTAAAATTATCATGTCTCAACCTTACTGTTTCTTGTTCTCTCTTTTTTTTTTTTTGGCAGATGAAGCAACAGAACATGACCCATGCGGCAAGTCGTGAAAAGTGTACTGAAGGAACATTTGCTGAATAGTGCGATAATCCAGGTAAAGGAAGGTATAGGAGCATCCAGTCAATGTTAAAGTATCAAAGTATATGGAATCATGCCGGTTTGACAAGGGTGCATATTGATGGGGCAATTACAATACTGTTTGTGAGAATTATATTTGATGGTGTTTGGAAAAAAATAAAACAATTGAAAAGCATCACAGTAGGCCTACTTGCTGCTACTTGGAAATTGGACTCTTGCAAGATTTCTTTTGCTTAAATCGGATTTAACACAAAGCCACTATAGTGTAAGCTCAGTTGTTTAATTCCTACCCAAATGACTTTATTTACAAGTATTATGGAACATGCTGAGCATTCAGTATGATGAACTAAGACATTCCTAACATAAAAAAACAGCATTGAATGGCATTACAGTACTCACTGGTACATGGAAACGGGATTTACACACCAGATAACTAGCCTGGTGCTTAACCACTACAACACTGAGCTTGCACTTTCCCAAATCAGTATTTGTTAATCACTGAGAATACCAAAAAAATATCTGTATTTCTTTTTTTTTTTTTTTTTTTTTTTTTTTTTT